TAGTTAGTACACAGTTTTATCAGTCAGCCTTCACCATAGTTTATTACAGTTCAACAGAATACATGAACCTGGAACTGTACCTCAAACTCAGGAGCTATTTCCAACAAGCTAAAGGACAAATCTACTACAAAAATTAATAGGAAAACAAGCCAACGAGAGACTCATGTTTTGCGTGAAAAAATGGCCCCAAACCTGATATTTTGTTGACCCGACTGGCCTGGGTTCGGGTAGCAGACCTCTAAAATATGAATCAGATTAGATGGAAGAGTGGTTTGTTTTAGCATTTTAAAGTATCAGTAAAATATAAAAAACACATAAAACGTAGTTAAAGTGTTTCTCTGTTAGTAGACATTAGACAGGAGATGTGCAGAGGAGATGGTAGCAGTAGAGAGAGGAAATGTGGAGAGAACTTTAATAACAGCATTATTGGGGAAACATCTGTTTTCTACTATAAGTAGTGTTTTCACTTGTTTTACCTCTTCTGTTTTTATGATTTACCTTACAAGACACATCAGTGCTGAACTACTGCAAATATTGTTGATCTTTCATCCTTCCTGAAAGTTGAGCTGGAGACGTAGCGCTGTTTCTGGTCAGGGAGCAGAAACAGGGGTGGTTGCTAAGGAGAGATGAAATCTGGAGAGGACTTTAATAACAGCAATACTGGAGAAACATCTGTTTTCTATTATAAGCAGTGTTTTCACTCATCTTTTTTCTTTTGTTTTTTTATGATTTATCTTACAAGACATATCAAAGCTGATTTAGTTCATCATTCGTCTTTCATTTTAGCTGGAGCTGGAGACGTGGGGCTGTTTTCGGTCAGGGAGCATAGCAAACGGTATCACTGGTATTACAGTGCATTGTGGGAATTTTCAGGGAAGGAAGGCTTGGTGCACTGGAGAGATTTTGACAGTACTCTGTCTACTGAAGCAGAGAGCCCTTAGAGACACACACGCTGACTCAGCAGTCTGAGAAACCACTCGAAATCTGAAAGTGTGAAAATGCCCTAAACACGAAAGTATGCGAGAACAGAGACTCTTTGTCTGAGACTCACTTCCTGCCATTTAAGGAAGCATCAGTCTCAGTCAACTTTAACCCATTCATGTACAAAAAGTAAATTAACTATTACATGGACAAAAGCCCCAGACCTTATTGTGATTGGTCTAACGGTTGTAGTATTGAAGAGGCATTAATTTGATAGGTGTTTTATTTATCCTATTCAGACAATTAATTATAATTGCAGTAAACAATTCTTCCAGCAGTGCTGTTTCTTTTCTGTAGGTTCTGGTTGTTTATAAGTATTTAATAGTTTTGAGCTAAATTCCATAATAGTGTGTTGCATTTTTTTGCAAGGAAATGACAATACAGTGCAAATAGTTGGGCCAGTCATGAGGTGAGTAGTACATCAGGTAAAACTCAGTTTAAAAAACAGTTTAGCTGCACATCAGGTGGATTCATGCTCGTTTCGACAGAGTATTCTGGTTTAACATAACCCTTAGCTGCACCCCTGAAGTGGCTAATAGATCCAAACCTGTGTTAAACTTCAGCTGTACTACTGCTAATCTAGTGACAAAAAAATACCCTCATGGGTGAAAGTAGGTCGAACTGTGAAGGTGGGGAAAAGTACCTTTAGACACTCCAACACTTAATAAATTATGCTACAATGAGAGCATTTTAGCATTTTATTATCAATTTTTGCACTGCACTGAATAGTATTTAATGTACTGTCCCAGCTCAGCGTTTACTTAGAAATCAGACGTTTGATAAATTCATACCCATAACTCGTTGTTGCTGCTCTCTAAGCTTCCATTAACTCTTAAAACATTTAAAAAAAGAAGACTTTTAGTTTAACATATGCCAGGATCTGGATAATAGAAGATTGGTCTATATGTCAAAAACTATGTGGACACCTGACCATCACCCCTATATGAGCTTGTTGGGCATTCCATCCCCCACCACCACCACCACTCCCCGCAAACCCCCTCCACTCCTCCAATCACCACTCCTCTACCCAACCTTAATGTACCTTTATTGAAACTAGACTGAAATCAAGAACCAAAAAGTAAAACCGGCAATAACATCTGAAAAACAGCCCCAGACCATTATGCCTCCTCCACCAAACTTTACTGTTGGCACTATGCTTTCTTTAAGGGATGGCAACATCTTTTCATCCCGAGTTCAGGAAAAGACAATTATCACAAACAAACTGCCAAAGCAATGGAGTTTTTAATGCTAAAAACTGGAAAAGTCTTGACTGGCCAATTCAGTCACCTGATCTGAATCCCATTGTGCATACCCTTCATATACTATACAAAAACCTTAAAGAGACCCAGATACAAGCAGGAGAACAAGCTTGGAAGAGCATCACCAGAGAAGATACTCAATACCTGGTGAGGTCCATAAGTCACAGATTTCAAGCACTACATGAAAAGGATGCAGTGCTAAATCTGACTAATTTACTGTACATACCACTGCTATGTCCCAAACATGACAAGCCTTCAAATGGGGAGGGGGCCTTCTATAAAAAGTGCATTAATATCTACATGGTAAAACTGAAATATATACATATATATATATATATATATATATATATATATATATATGTACATATATATATATACTCATATTCATATATATAGTATATATAGTGTATATACTCATATTCGTGTCACATAGGTGCATCATTTGAAAATGTGTTCAGTAAAGCATTTAACATCTTAACTGACTAACTCGACAGCAGCACTACAGCATAACGTCTTCCACTCTCGATCTCACAAGGACACACTTTGTTAGTTCACATGCTTTTTTTTGAATATATATTGTAATGAATATATAACAGGCCTCTGTGAGATGATTTCAGACCAAAACTCTCATTCTTGAATATATATTTAAGGATGTTACTGGTGTATCTCTTAGTTTAACATCTGAACAATTACTTTATTCAGTGAAATGTGCTTGTATCTATTTTCAGGACTGAGCACTGCAGGCAGAAGATGCCTCATACTGACTGCAGTGTGTCTGGGGCTGCTGTGTGTTCTCCTGCTGGCTGCCATTACAGTGCTGTGGGTAAAGTTCAACAACGTGACTATAGAGAAAGACCAGTTACAGACCAGTTACACAAACCAGACTATAGAGAGAGACCAGTTACACAAACCAGACTATAGAGAGAGACCAGTTACAGACCAAAAACACCAACCTGACTATAGAGAGAGACCAGTTACAGACCAAAAACAACAACCTGACTACAGAGAGAGACCAGTTACAGACCAAAAACAACAACCTGACTACAGAGAGAGACCAGTTACAGACCAGTTACACCAACCTGACTATAGAGGGAGACCAGTTACAGACCAGTTACACAAACCAGACTATAGAGAGAGACCAGTTACACAAACCAGACTATAGAGAGAGACCAGTTACAGATCAAAAACACCAACCTGACTATAGAGAGAGACCAGTTACAGACCAAAAACAACAACCTGACTACAGAGAGAGACCAGTTACAGACCAGTTACACCAACATGACTATAGAGGGAGACCAGTTACAGACCAGTTACACGAGCCAGACTATAGAGAAAGACCAGTTACACAAACCAGACTATAGAGAGAGACCAGTTACAGACCAAAAACACCAACCTGAATATAGAGAGAGACCAGTTACAGACCAGTTACACCAACCTGACTATACAGAGAGACCAGATACAGACCAATTACACCAAACTAACTATAGAGAGAGACCAGTTACAGACCAAAAACACCAAGCTGACTATGGAGAGAGACCAGTTACAGACCAAAAACACCAACCTGACTGCAGAGAGAGACAAGTTACAGACCAGTTACACCAAACTAACTGTAGAGAGACCAGTTACATACCAAACACCAACCTGACTGCAGAGAGAGACCAGCAGAGAGTTGTCTTCTGTAGGTAAGCTGACACATTTAAAGCTAAAGTTACTTTTTCTATTTTCTTCTTCTTGCCAGTGAGTTCATACACATTTTAATGAACTTGTCCTGCTCCTGGATGCTGATCCTGGAGATCTACCGCCCTGGAAAGCTCCGATCCAACACACCTGGCACTCGTATTCAGAAGCCACTGAAGGCCTTCATTAACTGGATCAGGGGTGTTAGATTAGGGCTGGAGCTAAACTCTGCAGGGTTGTAGATCTCCAGGACCAGACTTGGGCACCCTGTAGTAGCAGAATATTTTCCTCACCAGTGACTAGCTTGCCATGCAGTGTTGAGCTAAATGAACACTTAAACTTGAATGCACTGCAGATAAAGCATTCAGTGGGGCATACACCTTCACAAAATGCATTCCGTACTAGCACGGTTCTTAAACATCATATAAGTCTCAGGTTAAATTAATTATGATAAAACTTTTTTTTTTTTTTTACTGGGAACGGAATATTCAACTTCTATTCATCTAAATATTCTAACATTTAAATGGCAAAATAGCATCCAAAGACCAAAAAGGTTCTACTTACCTACCTACTTTAAAAATCTGACTTCTTACAAAGTTATTTTTTTCTACATTAAATACTATTATATTATGTAATGATCTTGACCATGTAACAAAAAATTAGTTCATGTTTATGTCAAAAAGTAGAACATCCTATGTATTATTTTATGTTGGTACATGCTGTGCTAGGTCAGGGAGATGAAAGGCTAAATGGATAAGAAGGAGCTAAACAGTGCAGGATGGTAGATTTCCAAGATTTTCCGCCAAACATACCTTTTTGGAATTATGGCCAAAAAATTCAACCTTGGTCTCGTCAGAGCATTGGATAACTAACTTAATGAACTATTTAGTTAGCTCACCTTATACTGGATAACTAACTTAATGAACTATTTAGTTGGCTCACATTATATTGGATAACTAACTTAATGAACTATTTAGTTAGCTCACCTTATATTGGATAACTAACTTAATGAACTATTTAGTTAGCTCACCTTATATTGGATAACTAACTTAATGAACTATTTAGTTAGCTCACCTTATACTGGATAACTAACTTAATGAACTATTTAGTTGGCTCACATTATATTGGATAACTAACTTAATGAACTATTTAGTTGGCTCACATTATATTGGATAACTAACTTAATGAACTATTTAGTTAACTCACCTTATATTGGATAACTAACTTAATGAACTATTTAGTTGGCTCACATTATATTGGATAACTAACTTAATGAACTATTTAGTTAACTCACCTTATACTGGATAACTAACTTAATGAACTATTTAGTTAACTCACCTTATACTGGATAACTAACTTAATGAATTATTTAGTTAGCTCACCTTATATTGGATAACTAACTTAATGAACTATTTAGTTGGCTCACATTGTGCCATAAAATCGCAATACATCAATAAATGTATTTAAATAAACCTGTTGACTGACAATCATGTCTTAGGAGCGAAAATAAATACTTTTTTCAACAACTGCCAAACAGTCATGTACACTGTATACCCTAACAATCACCTATCATGACAGCCACATGGAACACACATTGTAGCCATCGAACAACCCTCAGCAACCATGAGAGATACCATAGTTCTCCACTTGAAATTGCCTCCAATACAATAACAGCCACGTAGGCACATCTGTGTTACAACCAAAGATACTAAAGCAACTACACAACAAACAACCAAAGCAGTGATCAAATAAAATATATAAATGTAAAATTTTTAGCGCAATCACCTTGGATAACTTAGCAACCACTTAACAACACCCAGCAACCACCTTAAGCAATGGTAAGCATGACAAAATTATGCTATCAGGCACAAGAGACGATTTACAGGGAAAGTCATAACTGCAAAAAAGCAGCAGCAAAACATGAAAAAAACATGTTTTATACTTGTATTATAAACAATGTAAATTAAGTTTTGTTTCCCTCTTTTTCCCCAACTTCTATTCTAATTCTAATTCTGAACTGTCAATCAGAATACATTTGTTTCTTGACCAAAGTGTGGAAGTGACACCAGAGGATAATGAAGTCACTGATTAACAGTTAACTTCAGCCAATCAGATCTGATCTTAGCACATTTTGGGCCAGAATATGGCCATAATTACATAATTTATTGTAAATAAAACCACTCAGATGCAGTGAACTTTACCAATATGGAATGATTATCAATACTTTGGTCTGAGTGTCTGAGTGTGTGTACATGTGTGCTGTATTTTTAGTGAAGGCAGTGCAGGAGGGTTGGAAGTTTTTCAAGAACAGTCTTTACTTCATTTCTACTGGAGAGAAGATCTGGACTGAGAGTAGACAGGACTGTAGAGGAAGAGGAGCAGACCTGGTGATCATAAACAGCAGAGAAGAACAGGTGAGAGTGTGTGAGAGAGTGAGAGAGTGAGAGTGTGAGTTAATTTAGTTGTTTTTAGTTATGTAGTTGTGCATTTTCAGATTTTTCTATCATAATTACAGGAATTCATTACCTGTATGCTGGGCAGCAGTCAAGCTTGGATTGGTCTGTCAGACATTGAAAGAGAGGGTGAATGGACATGGGTGGATGGCTCAGCACTGACCACTGCGTAAGAAACTGCAAATAAGTACATTTAAGCCCTCTCTCCCAAAATACACACGTCATAGTTCTGAAGGTACTGTTATATTTTTAAAATGGGCAATTATGTAGTTATTACTGCGGTATGGTGTGTTAGTTCTTTTAAATGTACTTTGAGTTTGAAGCTCCAGACACTGAAAAGATGTGACTATGGGAATCTGTTAAAATAAGATCTGATACCTGACAGAGCAGGGGGTGCCGCTTCTAAATCCAAATCTAAAATATCAGCTCTATGAAAAAAAGGAAGAAAAATTAGCATTGTCTTAGTTAATAGTGAGCTGTGAACTGTCTACTTTTGCGCCGACCCCTGAGGTGAAACATCAGGGTGCCAGGCACCTTCAGCTGAACTGGGTTATTTGGCAAAATATTTTACTGCATATTGAAACACTTGTTTGTGTCTGGTTGCATTGATTCCCCTCAGTTCTCTGTCCACAGAAAGTCATGTCTGACCATTCATGACCAAATACTCCAATCTGCCTTCAAAGGATGAAGTTCAGAGTGGGGAGTGGCAGGTATGTTGTGGAAATGTAACAGTGTTTACATACTAAATCAAATGATTTTATTAAAAAAAGAAGATTGAATTTTCCATGATAGGGGCCTTTTAAAGAGAGATAGTGGTCACATTGGGAAGAGAATTATCTCTCAAAGTGTAATACGGGATTACACAGATTACATCCTAAATCATAAAGTCATAAGAAAGTAAAGATCACCACACATAAACATGTTGGCTGTCACGCCTTCTGTAGCGGAGACCCACATCCCTCACTCCGTCCAGCACTCCAACTCCCAGAATTCACTGGGAGGTCACATGATCAGGAATCCTCAGCCATCCACCTACCAACATTCGCGCTCACCTGAGTATTGATTGATTACACCACATTCATCAGCCGTTACATTGGCATACAAGTCAAATGAGGGAAGGTTTGATATGCACAAACTGGAGGATGTTCATGGATGTTCTCAGCATATTTACTCTATATGTATTATTAATATAATGTTTATTTATTTAAAAGAAATACTATTTCTGTTTGTTACTGCTTCTCCTCATTGTTCCTGACAGTAGCACAGTAGCCTCTGCAGGCCCTCTAGTAGCCACTCCACCAACAATCCACGGAGGCATTTTCAATTCAAATGATCAAATTAAATATTTTTATCCATGACTCTGTCAATAGATTAATAAGGACATTGTTGGTTCTCTGTGTGTGAAAGGGGAGGAGTGAAAACCTCCTGCTGAGAAAACACTTTTTTTAAATGATAACTTGTTTTCTCACCTACAAACGTGAAAATCCCCTTTTTGATAAAGCTACGGCCCACCAGGAAAAGTATACAGCACTTGTGGTTTTAGGGACCTTCATTCAGCATTGAAGACATCATAATGTTACAGTCTGTGTTTGGTGTCACATCATAATGATCCACTAGAGGGCACCAGTGAGCAGCTTAAAACCTGATCCAGCACTAATCAGTTATACACATGCTGTATAATTTTTCAGGCCAAACTGACAAAACTGAACTGAATCCAATCCAATCCAAATCGCACAGGGCTGCAACCCAACTCTGGAAGTCTGCGTAAGAATATCCTCATAAGTGAGATCATTACCAAGAGGCTGCATTTAGGTTGACAAACTAAAGGAAAATGTCTGCTTCAAGAAGCTTCTACACATGTACCATGTGACTTGAGGTCTCACACATGTGTCCAGCCTCACTATCTGACTATCTACCACAGTCTGCTTAGTCTAGACTATTTACAGTTACAGCTGAGCACAGATACTCTGCAGTGGCTTCCCACCAGTAGATAAGCTGACGAGCAACACACGCAAAGTCATCAGTTCAGACCTATTTAGACTTACATGTTCTGCTCCAGTCTGTCACAATAAGATGGATATGAGGGAGGATTTCTGTAAAGTTGCTTGTGACAATATCTGTTGTAGAACATTATATAATGAACTGAATCATATTCAATACATAGTTAATTGAAAGTAAACCAAGTTTTACTCAACTCACCATCTTTGCTTCTCTGATCTCACAATCCTAAATGGCATGACACTGATTCTTATCACTGCAGCAAGAAGGGCTAACGTGCGGCTAAACTCCTCCGTTTAACCATATGAATGTTCAAGTGTGCCACATTGTCTAATACATCCTAATGCTCTACCATCTGACCTGCCTCCCATTTCTGAATCTAGCTTCTTCATGTCTCTCCTGGCTCTCTCACCTGGCTCAGGGTGTTTGTACCAAGTTCTCTTAAGTTGTTATAGTTCTTATCAAACTCCTTCTAGCAGCAGCTTCTGCAGCTCAGGAACATGTTGTACACTGTCTAACTCGTCGTGTACAGGTGGCAGAAACTGGATATTTTTCTTTTATAGTGTTGCAGTTAAATTTTTCTTTCTCAAACAGTGTCACGTTGTTTAATTAGATGCCACTTGAACAGTATTTCTAACTGATATTTGAAACATAAAATGTGGTCTTTTCAAAGGTTATGGCACATTTTCCACTTGTTCCCGAATTTGTTCAATTCAGTAAATAAACAGAAATTATTGTACAGCAAAATGCCATATTTAAGTTTGTTCTCTGTAAAGGATGAGAACTTATTTTCACCTAGAACATCAACAGAGCATGTCCTTTGACAGATGGTATTCAAACTTATGACTTGAAAAACCATTGCATGTACTTAAAATTTTGAATTGTTAAAATGTTGAAAATATTGTGTGAACTCAAAATCTGTTTGTAAATCAGCATCTGCCCACGATTCCCAGTGAAACTATGATGAAAAAACACAAATTCTTATTGTTAGAGGTAAATAATTGGGTTCTACGCTGTATGAGTCTCACTGAACAGAGGGTTGAGCTAAAGATCTGAACTGAAGAATAAATGAACACTGATCTGAGACTGATTCAGATTCTCTGGGTTCCAGGTTCTGGGTGAATGGAGAACCAAATAACCAGGGGAATAAAGACTGGGCTGAGATTTTTTCTTTGAGGAACACTGTTTTTTAAATATTTCAATATTTTTATGGACGATCCTCAGCTCATCTTTGCTCCTGAAGGGCTGGACCTGGAAGCTGATTTTGTATTAAATCATGATTTCAGTCACCTGTTATTATTTAATCACTTTACCTCATTACCAACCCTAAATTGCTTCTGCCCCAACATTTTTTGGTATGTATTGTGGGCCTAAATTGTGGGAATGGATGTATATTTACAAAAGAAATGAAGTTGACCAGACAAAACATGAAATATCTTGTGTTCATAATGTCTGCAATGAAATACAACTCAAAGAAGCTCAATATCCCTGCTAAACAATCTACTACTGAACCATCTTAACCACAGTGGAGTAGAACATCCAATAATGACTGTGTGAGGACATTAACAAAAGGGTGAAATATGGTTCACAAACTATACGAAAAGTTGCTTCTGCACACAAATCATGTGACTCACACACCTCAAACACCATCACAGTCTCACATCTGTGGCTGACATCACTATCTACCACAATCTTCTTCATTTAGAACAGGTGGTTTACTATCATAGTTCAGCACAGGAACTGCAGCAGCTTTAAACTGACAGGCAGCTCATGCAGAGTCACATTTACAGTTTTCAGAGTCATTAAAGTTAATATCAGTGAGGGCAGAATAAAAATGATGGAGGATATGTATGCAAATTCAGGAATTACTGTAGACAACAGAAGAAATTTAGATAGCGGTGGGCATTTATATGAAGACCTTAAAGTGAATGAGGATGACAGAGAAACGCAGAAGACCAGGAGGAACAAAAGGAACTCAGGTAGAGTAACTGCAGAGAATATACACATTAAAATGCTGAGAAAGACGACAAAACCTCTCACAGTTTAAATCTTTATTGGATTTTTCTCCATGTATTACTATGACAAATAGTGCTATAATCCTACATTAAAATGTATTGTTAACCAGCTTTAATGAGTAACCAATAGAATTCTCTCTTTTCTTTGAAGGTTTCTCATATTGAGTGATCTTAATGTGATTAATATTTCAGTTGACATCTCATGACATTGTAACTAGTAGGTGTATCTTGCATTGTACTGTATCACACAGCGGCAGTTCAGTATAGAGCAGTTTGCTCTCTGGACCACTTAGAAACACAAAAGCAAATATGATTTTGTGACCCTGAAACACACCAGTCAGTTCACTCAATCACAAATAGCCAGTGCAATAAATAAATATGGATTTTAAGTTAAAAAAAAAATAAAAAAAAGAACTAAAAGAGGAAGTTACTAAATGAATAGTATCTCTTTATCTCTTTACACTCTAAGAAGTAAAATGTAACTATTAAAGGGGAAATTCACTAATTTCTCCTGCATAATTCAAGTTTTTAAAATTCAGAAAAATTCAGAGAGGTTTTAATATGGAATGCTGTTAATGGTAACATAGAATGAAATATGAAACCTCATAACACCCTGCATAGCTCTCCACCATGAATGGATTTAAAATTTTAGGTAAAAAGTTTATTTCAAAACTATCGAAAAACAATGTCTTAGACGTCATGCAGCGTAACCACCAGACTGTAATTGGTTTCTTTGATGTAGTTGTTAGAAACATTAAACCCTTCAGACGTCTGGCTCCTTTCACTACTACTGTGAAGTTTCTCTAGAAAGGATCATTTCACACAAACCTCTCTGAATTACTCTGTTCACATCTTAATGATTGTTTTACACAGAAATTTGGAAAAAAAACGGTGGAGTTCCCCTTTTAATATGTAGCGAGGCCCACAGCAAACAAAAATAAACCAAACAGAAAGAGGGCTGAAAAATTCATCACCATATATAGTCATCTTTTGATCTTACATGAGCGCAGACTAATGTACTGCAAAGGAAATCTGCATGAATGTAAGTAGCTGTCAGCAACCACAAGAGGGAGCCATCCAGCTGATAACTGATGGCAATCTGAGGCTTTAAAAACAGAAGTATATATGACATGCGATTGGGAGCCTCTCTCAGTGTGGCTCGCTCACTGTAGCTCCCTGACAAACTGAAGTATCTGTTAATGCCATTTAGGGGCTCTATGATAATCAAGCCTGGCTATAAAGTCCTTATAGAGGCGATTCATTGCCTTTTCAATGAGCAAAACAAAGTTACGCTGGTTGTGTTATATTACTTTAATTAATTTTTAAAACTTTTTAACTCATTCATGTTCAAAAAGTAAAAGTAATCTATATTAGTATTTTATAGGGAGTGTTTTGTGATTGGTCTAAAGTGATTCCATTTTGTATAGTTATGCCCTGGATGAACATTTAACTGTACATTCACTTCCTCACTGTCCATTTTATCAGCTCCACCTACCATATAGGAGCACTGTGTAGTTCTACAGTTACAGACTGTAGTCCATCTGTATACTTTGTTAGCCCCCTTTCACCCTGTTCGTCAATGATCAGGACCCCCACAGAGCAGGTATTATTTGGGTGGTGGATCATTCAGCACTGCATTAACACTGATGTGGTGGTGGTGTGTTAGTGTGTGTGTCGTGCTGGTATGAGCAGCACTGCTGTGTCTGATCCACTCATACCAGCACAACACACACTAACACACCACCACTACGTCAGTGTTAATGCAGTGCTGAATGATCCACCTGCTCTGTGGTGGTCCTGTGGGGGTCCTGACCAGTTATGAATGGGGTAAAGGTGTGATAACAAATTAAAACAGATGAACTACAGTCTGTAATTGTAGAACTACTCAGTGCACCAACATGATAAAAGGAGCTGATAAAATGGACAATGAAAGAAGATACAAGGTAGCTGAACCTAATGAAGCGCTCAGTGAGTGTGTCAAAAAATCATGAGGTGTATTCACTTCTTTACATGACTGTAGCTAATAATTACAACTAGAAAGCAACCTGTGTAGATATGATGCAGTGCTGAGGTGTAACTTAGTAATCTACAAACTAGTCAACTACCAAGCTAACAGCATTATGCTGTATTATAGTGAAGAGTAAATTGTCAAGTATCTGCACCTGACTTCCACTGCCCCCTGAAAGCCCCTCGTTTTTTTGCTTTTTGCTTTTTTCCGTTCAAGAGATGTTCTGTTCAATAATGTTATACCAGCTCCTAAGGACTCACCATGTTACACAGCTATAGATAGATATATACAGATATAAAAGAGAGATTGAATACCTTTTTTCTTTTTTCATTATTGTTTATGTTTATGAATAGAGAAGTTTAATTCATGTTTCATATTTATACAAAGCCACAAGACATTTTTACATTAATGTAAAAAAAAATTACATTGTTTCTACACACTGTGACTGTTTTCAGGATGCTACAGACTGACTGCAGTGTGTCTGGGGCTGCTGTGTGTTCTCCTGCTGACTGCCATCACAGTGCTGTGGGTCAAGTTCACTGCAGAGAGAGACCAGCTACAGATCAGTTACACCAAACTGGCTGTAGAGAAAGACCAGCTACAGACCAGTTACACCAAACTGACTGCAGAGAGAGACCAGCTACAGAACAGTTATGGCTCTGTGGTTCGTCAGCTTCAGAATCAGGGAGACTGTCTTCAGAAGTTCTCTAATTTGGGTGAGCAGATCATCTCTAAGGTTTAAGATGGTCAAGTCCTTTTGAAGCAACTAAGTCACTTCGAAATGTGTAAGCAAACAGTACATATTACCACATTTAAATCATTGTGTGATTTATGTATCTATACAGTACTGTGCAAAAGTCAGAAAACACCCTTTCATTTATTTAATTTCTAGTCAAAATGGCCTTTAAGGACAAGCGTGAAAGATAAAGAAATAAGAAAAAAGTTCAATTCACAGTCACTATGAACAGAATTTCCAATCCACCGTTAAATAAATGTCAAACCATCCATCTAAGAATTACTAAATGTTAAACTGTTCTGCTCACTAGAAGACCTGATTAGCATTAGCTTAACTAGCACAACAGCTCTGCTCACCACAAAACCGGTTCAGTTCAGTTCCAACTAAAGCACCAACACAGGTTTATATTCAAGTCTAAGGAAGTGAAACAGAGCACCTGCTGTTGGAAGCACAGAAAAGCCAAAGTTTTATCTATTCTGTGGAGTCTGGATCTGTAGCATGTTAGCTATACTAACAGTAGCTTAGCTAGCAGGCCAAATGTGCCACACACCACAGTACAAGTTAGATTCCAACTAACTGGTGCTCTGCTGACACTGTAGATCATAAAAACTCATGTCTGAGAGAGCAAAGTCAAGAGACTGTTGGACTGACAGAAAGTAACAGTTCACACTGTAATAATTCTGATCATCATCATCATTTTTAAATTCAGTGATTACTGCCCAGTGCTAGATAAATATGAAATTTAGATAGATTATATTTAGCGTTGTTCTCTTTGGTGTTAAATATATCTTTGCTGCTTTTTTATGACAATGAAAAATGTATATCTTTTACTTTACTGGAAATTACATAAACGAAATGGGGTCTTTGACTTTTCAGTAGTATTTTAAATGGAAATTTCATGGAGTTATGTTCTTCACTCCCAGTAACGGAGGGTTATAGCACTGTACAATCAGTTGACTCAGTCCAGTTGATGTGTTTTTGCTTTGTGAAAGTTTGATAATTATATAATAAGTGGAATCAGTTTTGAAAGCCTTTAACTGTTACTGTAATATAGATTTATTAAGTATGTTGAGCTCTGTTTACTTGTGATTATCACAAACATTATTTCACACATTCTGAAGTGCTAATCCTGTTAATTTCAGTAACTATTTGACATAACCTGAAAACATTAATGAACAAAAACACTGCATCCAATATGGAAACAGCTACATTTCCATAATGAGTAAATACCAGACTATCATATTACATTTAACGTTATGATGCAGTTAGGAATTGTACTGATATGATATTGGAATCATATCAGTACTGACAGATAATGGCTGAAAATGAAATTGTAAATGTTATATTTATCCACCTTAAGGTTTTATTGCTGATGCAGTCAGCTTTAGCCCCAGTTTCTACATTTTTTACATGTTTATGTATTGGTATCAGAATCAGCATCAGCAGATGTGCATAAACATTATCAGACAGTCATCATCTTTCAGTTGTCATATTAGTATATCTCAAAATTACCAGTACAGTAATCACTCACTCACAGTCACTCACATGTGAAAGAAGAAAATAACTGTGATATTAAAATGTAAAATGAATCTCTGTGTTTGTGTTCAATTCATAGAGGCAGCAGCACAGCAGGGCTGGACATTTTTCAAGACCAGTATGTACTTCATCTCTACTGGAGGGAAGAAGAGCTGGAGTGAGAGCAGACAGGACTGCAGAGGGAGAGGAGCAGACCTGGTGATCATAAACAGCAGAGAAGAACAGGTGAGAGAGAGAGAGAGAGAGAGAGAGAGAGAGAGAGAGAGAGAGAGAGAGAGAGAGATTTGTGATAGTTTACCGCACAAACACATGTGAGGTGAATTACTTTTCCTCTCTGTTTCTGAGAATCTACATCTGGTTGTTAACAGAACTTTATTGAAATACTGAGACGAGGACAGAGAGCTTGGATTGGACTGACTGACAGTGAGAAAGAGGGGGCCTGGAAATGGGTGGACGGCTCAGCACTGATCACTGGGTAAGAGATCACTGAACTGAACTCTGGTGATGGTGCAGTTAAAGACTCTCACTCCTCACTGCTCTGATCAACACAGTGGATTCTCTGATTCTCTGTTTCAGGTTGTGGGGAAGTGATGAACCCAATGGTGCAGCAGGAGATGAGGACTGTGTCGTAACTGGTGACAAGTCTGATCCTGTAAATAACTGGGCTGATTATCCCTGTAATGACCGGTTTGTTTGGATTTGTGAGAAAAGTATTTTTAACTGAGAGTGTTTTAGAATAAGTGACAGCGAATATCAGCAGTTTGTTTGGATCTGTAAGAGAATATTTAGCTAAATGGTCACTTCTAACTCAGCATATTTGTATATAATTCATAACTGTCACTCTTTTAATTACCTTTGATTTGCTGATTATCTTTTCATGGTAGAAAAGAAACAGGATAGGAAAGTCAGAGATTAACAGTGCTGCAAACTCCTTGAATCAAATCTTTAAAAATTAAAAATTCTATAATTGTGTTAATTTTAATATGGGGGGGGGTGGTGGTTCAACCAACTTCTAAGACTGAACTGTGGAGGTGTGGAAAAACATCCTTGCAGATTTCTATGAAAAACTGAAAGTGAGTCTCCTGAACGGAATGGAAGTTGTATTAAAGGAAAAGAGTGGATACATTAAATACTGAATATTTATGAATTTAGTTGTGGAGGTTTCTGGGTAGTTTTCTGTTTAGTGTTTGTTTTCTGACTTGATTTTCTTTTAACAGTTTGTTTCATACATCTCATTTTTGTACATTTTACAGTTTTTTAATCATATTTACTTCATTGCATACATTTCTTTTGAATGCTAAACATGTCGCTGTGTTAGAACCTTTTAATGTCTAATACAATTAATAAAGCTTATAGTTTATCTAGCAGACATGCCAATAAATCATGAATGTGTTGATGGTGACATGTTTTCATTTTAAAAATACTGATATTTTATGGTGTTCAGTTATGCAATCATCACCATCAGGTATGATTTTGAAACGAAGTCATTCAGATGAATGAAACTTTACAGAAAAAGTACATTGTTAATATGGTTGGTTTCAGTGGCTCATTTTAACAAAAACAACCTTTTAGGAAAAGCACACAAACCCTGCTTAGATCTGTGAATTGTTTTGTGGTCAATGTGACTGTAATTGCCAAAAAAGTGCAGAGACACTCATTTATAATCTATGTAAGATATTTTTTTATATAATATCATTATTATATAATCTATATAAGATATTAGTATTATTATTAAGGAAATATTAATGTCACATTGCCCCCTGGCAAAAGTCAGCCATCCCGACAACCCACACAGCCCAAACCTGGGTCCTGGCGTGAGGAGTCCTGGCCTGGACAAGCACCGTTGGGCACTCACTCACCCCAGTCCTTGTTCAGGGCTGTGTTCTTGCCACCCTCCACTTTCCCCATCGTCCAATGTGCAATCACTTAGTGGTGTAGGAGACGCAGGAAAGGCCTTTGAGTTCTGCTATGAGAAATGCTCTTTATTACCACCAGGAGAAAAGAGACATAAACACAGCTGGGCATGGCAGTAAAGGTCACCAGCCATAGCTCTTAACTCAATAGGCATACAACCCACTCTAACTAAACCCACAGCCTGACACAAAATAACACAAACAACACATAGATACAGCTTAAACTAAGGAGCAACAGCATCAACATACAAAACAGCAACATTCACCGCCCCTTTGGTGGAGAAGCCTGAAGTGCAGCTCTACATACCACGAAAGAGAGCAAGTGGCCGCCTCCACAATATACCAGCAACAGGTTTAAATGAAAATCAAATATCACTGATTGAATATGAACATGACTGCAAATCCACCTCTGAAAATCTCCACAAGAATCTCCTCTTAACCAGAGTTACAGCAAAGAAAAGAAACCTGTGTAAGTGCATGTAGCTCAATAACCACAAGAGGGAGCCACCCGACTGAATCAGAGAGGACACATGAAGGTCTACATTATATAGTCTTTGGTTTCACTAAAACTGTGAGGAGGACATTACTAGTGATGTGTCGTTTGTAAATATTAAATGTCGTTTGTGATATTGTAAATATTATGAAGCTGTAACTGAAAATCACAGGACCCACAGCCCCCATTTTTGTCCGTTCATTAATTAAAAGATAAAAATGGTAGACTACAGTTTTATTGAAAATTAAACGACACAACATGCTGATCCCATTGGTTTTATGGGCAGTGGCCCATGTGCCCAAGCCAATAGAAGGCCCCCGTGGCCAATTATAAGAAAATCTAACAGTGGTTATCACCTGTGGTGGGAAGTTTACTAGCAGCACAGCAAAAAAAAAAAAAAAATTAAATCTGATCATGAGCCAGATGCTCTCCACATCTGTCATTATTTCAGTCAAGCTTTCATTTTTTTTTAGTAGTGAGCTAGTGTTACTTCCTTCAAACGTCCTTTGAATATGAAGCTCCAGATACTGAAAATATGTGCCAAGAGGAATCAATTAAAGCAAGATCTGATACCTGACAGAGCAGAGGATGCCATTTCCAAATAGAAATCTATAATGTGAGCTGTCTGAAAAAGAAAAAAAGAAGGAAACAATTGCATCGTCCTTGTTGGTCATGATCTGTGAACTGTCTACTTTCATGTTTAAAGTCATCAGAGGTAAAATATAAATAGAAAAATACTTTCCACACCCACTTTAGGAAAACTGAATGAAGCAATGTACCAGGACTATGTACCAGGGTATTTATACCAGGACAGGACTATGTAATGTACCAGCACGTATTAGAGGAGAATGTAACCTTGTCTGCCTAGAAACTGAATCCCTGTAACATATAATGAAAATAACTCAATGCTGCTTTCTAAAAAAGAAGGTGAAGGTGTTTGCATGGCACTCTCTCCTGACTCAAATTCCAATGAAAATGCATAGACTGATTCAGATTCTCTGGGTTGATGGATGGAGAACCAAATAACCAAGGGAATGAAGATGCTCTCACACTCTAAGATGGATCTGTGAGAAAAGAGTGTCTTAATGATAAATTGATATGATTACTAGAACACAGGCAGAATATACTGAGCAGTTAAACCAGATCTTGTTTCTGTCATTGTACATGTATTCATAAGAATGAACTCCATTGTCTTTTACTTTGGACTTCCCAGAAACAGAGACTGAAACACTGTCTGTGCTACCATATCAATGTTTAGAAACAGTAGGTGAATTAGGATCCTGTGGCCCTCTACAGTATTTAAAACTGTTCAATGTGAAATTCTGCAGGTCCAGTTTTAACGCTCTCTAGTGGCAGAATCTACTGGTTACTAAACTAAACTTCACCTTTAGAACCTTTAGTGTGATGCAATTTGCATATGACAGAAATTGGAAATGGGTGGACGGTACAGCACTGACCACTGAGGTGAAGGATCAGGATTCCAGGCACCTTGAGCTCCACTGGATTATCTGGGTAGCAAAATATATAATATATAACAAAATACTCCAATCTGCCTTCAAAGGATGAAGTCCAGCATAGATGTCCTGTCCTCCCACCTGACACACCTGAGCATCCACTTCTCCTAGCCTCAGAAAGAGACAATTTTATATGATGCGTAATCTCAGAAATTACTTTGTCCAAATCTACACAATAACCTACTTATTGAACTGTCATATCTCTTTCAGAGACGTCTAGGAACATTATTTTAATACGACAGTATATGTAACTTCTCTTTTTCCCTTAGAATTAAACAGGTCGTTTCTGTTACTGAGCTCTGTTCTGATTGGCTGCCTTGTATTGTGATCTTTCAAAAAGCAGTCCAGTCTGAAACATGCCTTATAACTTCAGCATGAATGGGCGGAGCTCAACAGCTGTGGGCTGAATTGGTGGGAATTTTATCATTTTATTTTATCGGAATTATGAAAAAGATTTAAGCAGTTCCAGTTTACAGGATTCCAAAACAGTGACAATAACAAATAATGAAATACGTACAGTAATCATGAGTATGATCATGAGCACATTGTTGCTCAGCATCTCATAAACTTCTAAGACAGGAGTGTCACTGTCAGCTCCTGGTGGGCCATGACTCTGAAGATATCTCCCTCTTCTAATGCTGACATCAACCCACAAAGCTCTTTCTTTGTCTTTTTAATAAAGCTACGGCCCACCAGGACCAGAGTTCAGCACACGTGGTTTTAGGATCGTTGAAGACATCATAATGTTACAGTCTGTGTTTGGTGTCACATCATATTGATCCACTAAAGGGCACCAGAGACCAGCTTTAAAGCTGCTCCATCACTAATCAGTTATACACACGTTGCTGTATAATTTATCAGGCAGGCCAAACTGAAACTGAACTGATTCCAATATTACAGGGCTGCGAACTTAACTCTGAAAGTCTGAATATAAGACTATCCTCATAAGTGAGGACAATACCAAGACGCTGAAAACTTCTGCTTCAAGATGCAGATGTACCATGTGACTTGAGATCTCACAGATGTGGCCAGCCTCACTATCTAACTATCTACCACAGTCTGCTTAGTCTAGACTATTTACAGTTACAGCTGAGCACAGATACTCTGCAGTGGCTTCCCACCAGTAGATAAGCTGACGAGCAACACACGCAAAGTCATCAGTTCAGACTTACATGTTCTGCTCCAGTCTGACCACAGAATGCATGTAAGGAATGATATAGGAATTACTTTAGACAACAGAACAAATTCAGACAACAGTGGACATTCATATGAAGACATTTGTTCCAATGAGGACGACATGGAGACACACAAGAAGAACTGAAGGAACTCCAGTACAGTAACTGCAGAGAAAGTCTTAACTGGGGATTTTCACTTATATAAGCATTACCATGCTATTTAATGCTACAGGCCCAGGCTAGATGAGTTGATTAGGGTTTATGAGTTGCAACGTCCACCTGTGTGCATTTGTCTCTCTGCCTACTAATACACATCTCTTTCACTCAGTAGGTGTTGAGAGACGAGAGAGAGGAGCCACGAGGCAGCCGCATGGGTCCAGTGCCACCACCTTCAGTTCCTGGATGTGGACATCCTCCTGGCAGAGGCTCACCTGGTGGCATATGCAAAGGAAACCCTTGAGCTCTTTCTGTATGGCGTCAATTCCAATTCAACATTGGCAATTGAGGAAGACTCAGGCCAACTTTGTTGTGATTGGCTGGTTGCGAGTTGCTAAAAAACCAGAAACAGGACTTTCACTCTGGAAGACGACCTTCAGCGCACACCAGTACAACAGCGTTAGCCGAAACGCTGCCTGTAATTACTCCATTTTGTCTTTATAAATGTTCAGTAATCATGATTAATCACTTGTTCCCCAATATGTTACATTCGGCAAATAAATAGAAATTATTGTGCAGAAAAATGCCATATGTAAGTTTGTTCTCTGTAGAGGATGTGTTCTCTTATTTTCACCTAGAAAATCAGTAAGGATATTTACTTTGACAGAGGGCATTCAAACTTTTGCATGAGACTCGAAAAAATATTTTATGTACTTAAAATATTGAAATATTAAAATATTTAAAATATTGTGTGTACTCAACAAAATATTGTATATCAGCATCCACCCACAGTTACCGTTGAAACTGTGATTGAAAATCATAAATTCTTATTGTTAGAGGTAAATGATTCAGTTCTAAGCTGTATGAGTCTCACTGAACAGAGGGTTGAGCTAAAGATCTGAACTTAAAGCTAAATGAACACTGATCTGAGACTGATTCAGATTCTCTGGGTTTCAGGTTCTGGATGAATGAAGAACCAAATAACCAGGGGAATAAAGATTGGGCTGAAATTTTTTGTTGAGGAATATTGTTTTTAAACGTTTCAATTATTTTCGCATGCATTTGTTGTCAAATTGGCGATCCTCGGCCCATCTTTGCTCCTGAAGGGCTGGGCCTTGCCTGGATTCTGCTTTTGTACCAAATCATGATTTCAGTCAGCTGTTTCAAATCACATCATTATTTAATCACTTTACCTCATTACTAGCCCTAAATTGCTTCCGGCCCAACGTTTTTTAGTATGTATTGTGGGCCTAAATGGTGGGAATGGATGTATATTTACAAAAGAAATGAAGTTGACCAGAAAAAAGATGAAATATCTTGTGTTCATAATGTCTGCAATGAAATACAAGTCAAAGAACACTTTAGAAATCACTGATTTCTTTGGGGTTGTAGGGAGCACAACATCCATGCTGAACCATCTACCACCTACTACCATCTTAACCACAGTGGAGTACAACATCCAATAATGACTGTGTAAGGAAATTAACAAAATCAACAAAATGGGCAGTCGTGGGCTGGAGGTTAGGGAACCAGCCCTGTGACCGGAAGGTCGCCAGTTTAATCCCCTGAGCCGACTGTATGTGACTTAAGTGCCCTTGAGAAAGGCACCTAACCCCCAACTGCTCCCCGGGCGCTGCAGATAGGCCCACCACTCCGGGCAAGTGTGCTCACTGCCCCCTAGTGTGTATGTGGTGTTTCGCTGCATGGATGGAAATTCCCTGTTGGTGAAATTTCCCTGTTGTGGGCTAATAAAGGTCATCTAACAAAAGGATAGATTATGGTTCACAAGATATCGGAAAAGTTGCTTTTGCACACAAACCATGAGACTCACACACCTCAAACACCATCACAGTCTCACATCTGTGGCTGACATCACTATCTACCACAATCTTCTTCATTTAGAACAGGTGGTTTACTATCATAGTTCAGCACAGGAACTGCAGCAGCTTTAAACTGACAGGCAGCTCATGCAGAGTCACATTTACAGTTTTCAGAGTCATTAAAGTTAATATCAGTCAGAGCAGAAGAAAATGAGGGAGGATATGTATGAAAATTCAGGAATTACTGTAGACAACAGAAGAAATTTAGATCGCGGTGGGCATTTATATGAAGTGAATGATGACAACAGAGAAACACAGAAGACCAGGAGGGACAAAAGAAACTCAGGTACAGTAACTGCAGAGAATATACACTTTAAAAATGCTGAGAAAGACGACAAAACCACTCACAGTTTAAATCTTTGTTAGATTTTTCACTTCACCATGTATTACTATGATAAATAGTGCTGTAAGCTCACATTAAAGTGTATTGTAAACTGGCTTTAATCAGTAACCAAAAGGAATTTTGAAGGTTTCTCATGTGTTTGAGTGATCTGAAGTGTGATTAATATCTCAGGTGACATCTCATGACATTGTAACTAGCAGGTGTATCTTGCATTTTACTGTATCACACAGAGGCAATACAGTATAGAGCAGTTTGCTCTCTGGACCACTTAGAAACAAGAAGTTTAAGACTCTGAAACACACCAGTCAGTTCACTCAATCACAAATAGCCAGTGCAATAAATAAATATGGATTTTAAGAAACATAAAAACAATGAAAAGAGGTGAAGGTACTAAATAAATAGCATCTCTTTATGAAAAACACTGAAACAAGTAAAATGTAACTATTAAACTGGAATTTCACTATTTTCTCCAGCATAATTCAACTGTTTAAATGTAAAAAATAAATAAATACATAATTTAAATTAATTAATTAATTCAAAATCATGCAGTGGTTTGATGTGAAATGGTTCATTGTAGAGAAACTTATAGACTCTTTGCAGATTTCTTTACAGTGGTGGTGATAGGAAGCAGGAGTCATAATGTCTACAAAACAAATACAGTCATTTTATTGAATATCCTAAACCACCAGTGAACCTACATGTGTGTTTTGAGTTTTAATATGTAATGCTGATAATGATAATGGTAACAAAGAGGGAAATCTGAATCTTTGGGGACTGTTTTGCCTCATAACACCCTGCATGTAGCTCTCCACCCTGAATGGATTTTATAAAATCTAATTCTAGGCCACAAGGTTATTTAAAAACTATTGAAAATTGGATCTCAGACATCAGGCAGTTTTCTGTGATGTAGCTTTCAGAAACATTAAACTCTTCTGACGTCTGGTTCCTATCACCTCCACTGTGAACAACTCTGCCTTCTTAAGTTCCTCTAGAGTGGAGCATTTCACACCAAACCACTGTAAACGACTTTTTTTACATCTTAATGATTGTTTTACACAGAAATTAAAACGGGTGGAGTTCCCCTTTTAATATGTAGCGAGGCCCACAGCAAACAAAAATAAACCGAAAGAGGGCTGAAAACTCATCACCATATATAGTCATGGTTTGATGGTACATGTACAGACTAATGTACAGCAAAGGAAATCTGCATCAATGTAAGTAGCTGTCAGCAACCACAAGAGGGAGCCATTCAGCTGATAACTGATGGCAATTTGAGGCTTTAAAATAGTATATGACACGCGAATGGGAGCCTCTCTCAGTGTGGCTCTCTCACTGTAGCTCTGTAATTACAACTAGAAAGCATCCTGTGTAGATATGATGCAGTGCTGAAGTGTAACTTAGTAATCTACAAACTGGTGAACTACCATGCTAACAGCATTATGCTGTCTTTGAAAGAAGAATAACATGACCAGTATCTGCACCTGACTTCCACTGCCCCCTGCAAGCCCCTCAGAGAGACCCACTTTGTTGCTTTTTCCATTTGAGTTGTTCTGTTCAATAATATTGTACCAGCTCCTAAAGACTCAAATCTTCATCATGTTACACGTTAGATATACACAGATATAAAGGAGAGACTGAATACCCTTTTAGTTTTTTTTATTTTTAAAATCATATCTGTGCCAAATCTAATTCATATTTCATATTTATACAAAGCCACAAGACATTAAGTGTGTACATTGTTTCTACTCACTGTGACTGTTTTCAGGACATGCTTCATACTGACTGCAGTGTGTCTGGGGCTGCTGTGTGTTCTCCTACTGACTGGCATCACAGTGCTGTGGGTCAAGTTCACTGCAGAGAGAGACCAGTTACAGACCAGCGACACCAACCTGACTATAAAGAGAGACCAGTTACTGACCAGTAACACCAAACTGACTGCAGAGAGAGACCAGCTACAGACCAGTAACACCAAACTGACTGCAGAGAGAGATCAGTTACGGACCAGTAACACCAAACTGACTGCAGAGAGAGACCAGCTACAGACCAGTTACGTCTCTGTAATGCATCAGCTTCAGAATCAGAAAGACTGTCTTCAGAAGTTCTCTAATTTGGGTGAGCAGATCATCTCCAAGATTTAAGATGGCTAACTCTTTTTCAAGTAACTAAGTCAAATTGAAATTTTAAGCAAGCGATACATATTATTATCACGTTTAAATCATTATGTGATTTATGTATCTATACAGTACTGCGTAAACGTCAGAAAACACCCTTTCGTTTATTTGAGTTATAGTCAAAATGCCCATTAAGTATAAGCATAAAAGCATCGTAAAGTGCATAAAAGTGTTTACATCACTTTTGTGCTGTCTCATCCAGCATTATTTCAAACTCAAAAATAATCAAAACGATCAATTCACAGTCACCATGAACAGAGTGCATCATTTCCAATCCACCATTAAATAACTGTCCAACCATCTATCCATCTGACATTTTTAAATCTGAATGGATTAGTTAAAGACTATGGATTAGTTAAAACACATTACGACACTCCTTGCTTCAGAAGAGTTCCTGAACAGTGTAAAAACTCAAATAAAGATACCATAAAATTTCTATCAGTGTAATCAAAATCTATTTGTTTCCTGACTTAAGTTTGGAAGTGACACCAGAGGTTGTTTAATCCATTTATTAAAGCAGTTAACTTTAGCCAATCAGATCTGATCCAAACACACTTTGGGCCAGAATATTACCAAACTTACAGGATTTATTGTAAATATTGTATTTTCCTGTAAGCCATTTAGATGCAGTGAACTTTACCAATATAGAATGACTATCAATACTTTGATCTGAGTGTCTGAGTGTGTTCTGTGTGTTCTATTTATAGTGAAGGCAGTGCAGGAGGGTTGGATGTTTTTCAGCACCAGTGTTTATTTCATCTCTACTGGAGAGAAGAGCTGGAGTGAGAGCAGACAGGACTGCAGAGGGAGAGGAGCAGACCTGGTGATCATAAACAGCAGAGAAGAACAGGTGAGAGAGAGAGAGAGAGAGAGAGAGAGAGAGAGAGAGTAGGAAAGGGAACGCTGCCCACTGATCTTCAGCTCATTCTTATCTCAATGACAGGAGTTCATCCTTAACAATATGGGCAGCAGTCGAGCTTGGATTGGTCTGACTGACAGCGACATGGAGGGAGTCTGGAAATGGGTGGACGGATCAGCTCTGACCACTGAGTAAGAAATAGATTAACTGGTTAACTGATTATTCCCACCTTCTCAAGTACCGACTGCACCTTTTAGCAGATGGATAAAGGTATGCTAACAGTGAACACTGATCAGAGACTGATTCTGATTCTCTGGCTTTCAGGTTCTGGGCTCAAGGAGAACCAAATGATCAGAATAATGAGGACTGTGGTGAGATTGTGAATGTGCTAAATAAGAAGGGCTGGAATGACAGACCATGCTCTTACAAAGAAGGGTGGATCTGTGAGAAAAGCGTTTCAGTGGTAAACTGATATTGACTAATAAAATGTTAAAATTTATCAGTGGCCACCAACTCTGATCCTGGAGATTTACTTTGATATGGAGTCACATATACAGTCTGTCACACCTGCTCCCACCACTGAACTTGTTCAGAAGTCCCTGATTGGCTGGATCAGATGCATTAGTGTTGGGTAATGGGTGCAGCATCAGATGTAGGTTATAACTAAACTCTGCAGGAAAGTAGATCTTCAGGAGGAGAGCTGTGGTCACTGATTTACATTTACAGCATTTAGCAGATCCAGAATGACTTACAAAAGTGCTTCACTGTCCACTCAGATTATGTATCTTAGCTTTACTATGTTAAGAGTCTAAACACACATTCACTGTTTCTTAGTGTCTATAAATTCTCACTATGAATTCAGTCAAGTGTCCCTGGAGCACTCATATCCAGACACTTCTGTGCTAAAGAGGAGGGTCACATGACTGTATTAACATTTGGGAAGTCTGAGATCCATCAGTGGACAGTAGGTCAGATTATGATCATGTGATCCTCTATTGCAGTTAAACCTACTGAATGTAAAATACATCATATCGTCGCTGTTGCTCAAAAACTTTGTATTGTATTTGTAACTTTGTAAATCATGTTACTTCAGATGGCTGAGAGGCACAAGGAGTTAGTCTGCCCCCTGGTGGTGATGTTTAACCTTTGCAGTACTTTTCTATGATCTATAGTTCATAGTGTCACTATTTTAACTACTTTAACTATTTCTAACTAATCTTTCATAGAAATCAGATCATTTTACACATGTTTCATGTTGCTTCTTTTCTTTTTTATTATAAACCAAAAGGTACATTTTTACCATCATTTTGTATTTTATTTCTTTCATATTTTCTCTATTTGCATAAATTTCTTTTAGAATATTTCTGTGCAAGGAATTCAAGTGAAGATATGATTATGATGTAATACAATTAGCTATAAATCATGACTCTGTGTTGGTGGGGCATCATTTTTATTATAGAAATGTATTCAGTTTCTCTGTTGATGCCAATAATAATTTGATTTCAGTTGCAATCAGCACCTGTGCAGGTCTGCAGAATTACAGAATGTAGCTTATTAATAACTGTATTAATTATTCACATTAATACAACTTCAAACAACTTCAATATGATAAAAATCTTACTAATCTGAATCTTTATCTGGCTTAGAGATCAAAGTTATCACTCTCGGTCTCATAGAAGTAGAAATAATGTAACACTCATTTACTTCCTGAAGAACCTGAATCAGGATAGTAAAGAACTCCAGAACTGTCTGTAACAGGTAGTAGTTACTCTATAAGAAACAATGAACTTTCACTTGTCTGACGCTCAGAGTGTGAGACACAGTGAGACTCCAGCCCTCTTAAGTTTGATCGCTCTCTGATGGGAGAGACTAACTTTCACAATGTTCTGATGCATCATCATCATCTTAATAATATTTTTGGAGGATTTTTACAGATATTGATCTTTTCTTTCTTTTATATTTTTGGTATGTTAATATTTTATACTGCGTTTGTTGCATTTTCTTTTTTGCTGTTGGTGCTGATTCTTTCTTCCTCAGATCGTATCATATCATGTCATTTTCACAGACAGAGTTCAGTTAAAGCTGTTTTTAAATACAAAATGTATTAAAATAGTAAAGCACTTGCAGAAAACTGAGATGTGATCTGGGAACCTCACATGAAGTTTGACTGCCCCCTTGTGGAGGAATTAAAACTCTGCAGTACTTTTCTGTGACCTGAAGTTTATACTGTCACTTTTTCACATACATCTCTACTTCAGCATCTTTCTGATAATCAGATACATTTTTTAAAATTATTTTTGTATCTGTTGCTTCTTTGTTTTTTGTGCTATAAAAGTTCATTTTTGTCATGTTGTGTCATTTTTTTATCATATTCACTGTTGAAGTTGAAGACAATGTTCAATTGACAGAAAAGTCTTGACCAGTGTTACTTGGTAGGGATGTTATTTTTAACTTCAAAAAATCTTTGCAGTTCATTCATTTGAGTTCAGTTATGGAATCACTTAAGCAGCACAGTGTGATTACGAAATGATCATTGTAATACAACAAAACTTCACTTTTAGAACCTTTAGTATGCATCACTTGACCAATGGGGTAAAATATCAGGGCTCCAGGTGCTTTGAGCTCCACTGGAACTTCTGGATAGTGAAACATTTTGCTGTAGAACTTGTATTTGCTTAGTTACAGCAATTCTCTGTCCATAGAAAGTCAAATCTGGCCATGTATGACCAAGTACACATAAACCTGCCTTCAAGAGATGAAGTTCAGCAGAATTTATTGCACAATTATTGTTTATTTACTTCATTTAACATACTAGAATAAAATAAAACATAAAGTGTGGCCTGTGCAAAAAGTCATTTTTTATGTTTTGTGTTTTTTAAAATGTTGAACTCAGAGTTCGTACATTAAAATGTGCAGAAAAATGCCACATTCATTTCCACATTGATTTGGTTCCCTGCAGAGGATGTGTCAAATCAACAAAACATTTCTTCGGATCACAAAACTAACGGTGAATGAGAAATGACTTCGTACTCTACGAAAATCAAGGCCTCAAATTCTTCATCTTGAAGCCATTCTTCCTGGAAAGAACAGTAGTGCTTATTTTGGGGGACTTCCTCCTTGGCCATTTTTGTGCTTTGTCTTTGTTTTACACAGATGCTATGACTTGTAAACGCTCTCTTTATGACTTTCCAAAGCATTAAAAAAACGCCAATTATGCTAAATGAGACAACTGGCCTTAATTTGCCAGTGGGATGGGGGGGAGTGAGGAGTGACAAACAAACCCCCCCAACCCACAAAGATGTAACCAACACTATCACCAACACAAAGAAGTTGGTTTCTTGACATTGAATTTTACATCAAACCACTCTGGATGCCTTGTTCATATCCCAGTGTTTGATACAAAATAACTGGAATTCCCTTTTAACAAAGGTAACTTTAACATTAGCAACCAGGACTTGACGCCATATTGAAGGCTGTAGCTTAAAAACTAAGCTCCGTCTGACTAACCAAAAATCTCCTAACAAAAAAAACAAAAGTGCGGCATAACAACACGACCTACAATGGCATCGTCCTGCAGAAGTTGAGGACAGAGAATCGAGAAGGTCACGAACAAACTAAGCTATCATTGACAAAGCTGGAATCATTAATGAAAGAATTGAAGGCTGAAATGACAAAACTCGAGAAAATAACTATGGAGACAGCGGGCCGCATTAGTACCATGGAGGACAACGGGCAGAGATATGAGAATGTAATCCGGTATTTGCTACGCCGAGAGGTTATTCTGGCGGCCTGATGTGAAGACCTGCAGAACAGGTCAAGACGCAATAACCTGAGAATATACCAAGTGCCCGAAGGGAGTGAAGGAAAGAATGTGCGTTTGTGAAAGAGCTGATTCAGTCTGTTCTCCAACCAATGCCTGATGTGAATCTACAAATAGAGAGAGCCCATTGATCTCTAACAGCTAAACAAAAAAACCCTTCCGCTGCTCCGAGGTCTCTGATGGTCAATTATGTGGACTATTCAGTGAAAGAAGCAATTCTGAGACAAGCATGGAGTCAAAAACAGATCATTTACAAAACAGAGCTGATATATTTTGATCATGACTACTCCCCAGTTATAAAAGAAGAGAGCACAGGTGTGGGAGGTTATTAAACAGCTAAAGCAGATAAGCATCAAAGCCAAGTGCGTTTACCCGGCACAGCTAAAAATGTTCACGGAATCTGGTGAGAAGACCTTCCCGACCCTCATAGATGCCCTTCTGGAGCTTCAAGAACTCGGCATGCAGGTTCGGGTGGACGAGCGGGAGCAGATGGAGAAAGAGTTGTCCCAGTATAGATGGAGCAGCGCGGGAGGGAGACGAGGAAAAGATCCAGTGGTGCTTACTGGCACGGATGTTAGGGCCTTCTTCAACGGAGCTGAGTGACCTCAGTGCATGACTAGTTTTCATCTTAGGAGGCTTGAAACAATGAGCGTTAGGAGGACTGTAACAGTTTTACTGTAACAGACAGAACTTTATGTCGCGCAAGTAAATTACCCGCACAGTGAGCAGTGACCGTTCCATGAGTCAGACGACGGCAGCTCAGACACAATGTGTGATTCCCCCAGAGGAGCAGTCACCCTCCCCTGCCCAAGTCACAACAGGAACTGGTTTGTGTTTAGGAGCTAAAAAAACAGTTGCGTATGTGGAAGTTCATTTTATCTTGTTTGCATTATCTTAGCTGCTTTGTTGTATGTTTTCGTTTTGTTCTTTCTACCTTGAGAGTACTGAGGGACTATGGATATCTTGCATTTTTACAAGACTTGACTTTATACGCACCAGGAAAAGTACAATGTAATATATGGACAGTTTAAACTGTATTAGCTATAACGTAAAGGGGATAAGCAGACCAGTTAACAGGAAAAAATATTTTGCCAACTTAAAAAACTACATTGTTCTGTAGCTATGATTCAGGAGATCCATCTGTCAGAGAACAACCATTTAAAACTAAAAAAAAATGGGTGGATCAGGTATATAGTGCTTCTTTTGAAAACAGGGGGAAAAAGGGGGGTTGCCATTCTGATTAATAAATCAGTCTATTTTAACCTTGAAAAAACAATTGGAGAAAGGGGGGTAGATATGTGATGGTAATAAGAAATATAGGAGGTACTAAAATAACAATGTTTAATCTATACGCTCCAAATGAGGATCATACACATTTCTTTAAGAATGTAGAATCTTTATTAGCAGATAAAGCAGAGGGAACTATTTTGATAGGTGGTGACTTCAATTGCATTTTGAGACAAAACATGGATAGATTCCCAGTAGAAGTAGGACCTTTGTGCAAAAAATCTACCTCTCTCCTGACAATGATGGGTGAATTGGGCTTGGTGGATATCTGGTGTTATTGTTCTTGTTGACAGTGTTGCCTGAACACGCTTACCAATGATCAGTTTTACATACTGCATGTTTTATTGATGATTGCAAGAAAATTAATTACTATTAATTGGATGAAGCCTAACCCCCCAATGATTGTTCAATGGTTACAAAAGGTCAAGCCCAGGTACAATTAAAATGATCTATTTTTAA